TTAAAAATACATTAACTTTTCTAAAACACATCAAAATTACTGAAAGCACGTATAAAAATATTAATTTAATATAAAGATATTTTAAAAATCGAGGTAAAAGGGGCACACCTTCGTCGAGGGCTGGTGACACTAATTGACCCTCGGCGAAAATAAAATCTCCTATTTTAATGAGGTAACGCCTGTGCATATTTAATCCTATCATATTATATTATATTATATTATATTATATATGTATCGTTATTGTACTTTACAGGGATGGATTTAACGCCAAAATCTTAAATCTCTGCTTGATATGTGGATTCTAGTCGGCGACAAGACAAGGGATCTATTCCCCAGTCGCCACTTGCCTGCAAAACAGTGTTGTTAATCGATACATGGGCACAACTCAGTTCAGTCAAATGTCTAGGGTGGTGTTTTATGCTCGTCCTGGCGTAAAAGGCACAATAATCGAATTATAAATTAACCCATCAAACTAAACAAAATCGGATTTAATAGCCATTTCCATAAATATTATAATCTATAGCTTTCTTCCGAGTAAGTCTATATCAAACACCTTCTAAAAAGAAAAACAAAAACACAGATCGAATCATTTATTTAAACTTTCAAAATATCTAAGATGTCCTTGCCACATGGGAATCGAAAAGAAAACGTGAAAAAGGAAGCAAATTCAGAAGCTTCAATGCAGCTGCGTGGGGACTAAAGGTTGGGACTAAAGTTTGGTAAGATTCAAACTCATTGGATCTGTTCCGTTCTGTCAAGCCACTACGGACTATATATATATATATATATATATATATATTATTTTCATATTACAAATACTAGCTTAGTATGCCAATTATATATTTGATAGGAATTTTTTTAATAAAATAGGTTTATAAATCTAATTCTATGCTGTAGAGAAGGGCTATTTTTTTTTTATCTATATTCTTTGAATTTTTTCATAAGAAAAATAATAAATACAGTCAATTTACGTAAGAAGTACAACCAAAAAACAGTATTAGTAGTAAGTAAGACGAGTAACTGCATGCAGACAAAGGCAGAAAGGATCTGCTCCTCATTTAATTCGACTTTTATTATCTCTTGACCTACACACGTTTTTGGTTGTGGGCCAGGTGTCGGTGACCATGAGAGACGAAGAAAATTTAGCTTCTGCTTTGCCTTTACGTTACCCATAATTTATACAGTACTCGGGATACATGCGATCAAAAGAGCCTAATTGGTTGTTGGCATAGTAAGAAGTTACTAAACTCGAACTTGATATATGATTTGTTCGAAGATTAAAGTAGTACATTAACTTGGAATAGTTTAAAATAACATTATTTTTAAAAAATTATAAAAATTCAATATGATATTAAAAAAAAAAAATCAAACCAAATTCCGCGCTAAATCAATTAAATCATTCTATACCAACTTCTAACTAGTTTAATTTAAAATCCGAAATCAAGATCAAAAGAGCCTGTGGGAGTTTTCAGTCTTGCCAAAACACTCCTCTCTCACTATATAAGTCCTTGATGCTGCCTGTACATGCTGGGGATGGGATTTCTACTCCATTCCGGATGGTTTATCTGCATCATCTCGACCTCTACAGCCCATGAAAAGTAAAATTAATCGATACAAATTCATGAAAGCTTGCTTAGAAAAGAGACATCCAAACGGTTCAACCTTAATTAAGATTTCTATCAATTTCTAAAGTGATTTCTAAGTTGGTAAGCCTTCTATATATTTAAAAGAATAGCGTTGATGGGGGTTGGTAACGCTATCATGAATATGCTTATAGCCTTTTCTTTCCTGTATCTGTAATTAACGAGAATATATAAATAATTCAAGCCATCGCCTTAAAGTAAAAGGGAAGTAGAACAAGGAGAACTAAAAATTGGATACGAAGGCTGGTGATGCAAATAATAATTAATCGATCCACCTCCATATACATCCTCCCAAAAATGATTGGAAAAGAGAGTTCTCCAGTACACCCCTCTCTTTCAAAAAGGCCAATTTGAAAAACAGTCCCTGATTTGTATTTTTTGTTGACACCTGCACTAAACCTTTTTTTTTAACCGATATCAACCCCTAAACTATTACAAGAACAACTAAAACGCAAGGTTTTTTTCTTACTATAGATATACTGTTATTTATCATCGGTTCAAACAGTAAAATGATGATTTTATTCTTTAAAAAACTCCTAGAATATTCACTTTTAGAGGTAAAATGATATTTTTACTTGGTTAATTTGTCATTTGATAATTATTAATGGGTTTTATTATCTTTTTACCATGTTTATGCACAATATAATAATTCTGTTACCTTAAAAGTAAAAAATCATTTAATCATGGTAAATAGACTTTTCGAGTATTTCAAATTCTAAAAAAATTCTCACACCTATAATGATTATTTTTTTATTTACAAAAATTGGTTTGGCTCACAGCAGAATGCAAATAAATAAACTAGTAAATATATAATACATAATCTTTCATCATGTGAATGTTTATTTTTGTATTACAACTTATTTTTTAAAGTGTTGTTTAGATTTTTTTTAATTGAAAAATCATTACATTAATTTTTATATATATTTAAATGATGTTAATGTGATGATGTGAAAAAAAAATCTAAAAAAGTATAATTTTACTGTAATTTTAGTTAAAAAAACACCTACATCTAAATACCAAACTAGTATTCTATATATATATATATAAACAAGCATGGGTTGCATTTAAAAATATATATATATTAAAAGAAAACTCACAAAAGAATCATCATAACATTAATAGGAAATTGACCTCTACCAATACAATACAAAAACCATTTTTAAGTTCGATACAAATGTCACCTTGAATTTGTCCTCGATTTTCCTATGAATCTTTTATGATACTCTAGGAAAACACGTCACTTGTTTATGATATTTAACGGTTAAAATGGATGACATCCAATTGCAGCCATATCAATCAAAATACTATATAATTCATAGTTTAAAATAAGAAAAAACTTATTCAAAAGATGTCATCAAAAAAGGCTCACAGGACTTAAAGCTGATGAGTTGTTCCTATGTTTCAGCGATAATAAATTTATTTAATCTATTTTAGATTAGTGTCCGAATTTGCCTTGGTGTTGAATATAATATGGATGGTATCCAATTGAAAATCTTACTCCGGATATATGTACATGTGATGTGTTTTCGTAGTCCCATTTTCATATATATTTTTTTGTCTATTTTATTCGAGGTCTTATGTCGAAGTCTATATATATATATATATAGAATTACCGGGAATTTTTATTGTTATTTTTATTTTCACGCTACCATGTATCATCTCCAGTGAATATCAACCGAACAAGTACACTTGGAAACAGAATTTTCTAGGCTGCGAGACCCTTAAACAAAGCAACATTTTATCAAATATATTTGCATTCGAAGACTTGGTTTCAAAGCATATTTTTTTGAGTTTGCTCAAACATAGTTTTCTTAGAATATGATGGTTCAACATATCTGAGAGAGCTGCTGATGGAAAGATTGCGATGAAGCATCGACAAGACAACAACCATGGTAACATGCTCTATATCTTTGTCTGGGTAGATGAATAATAATCTCAATTAACATGAAGGACCGGTGTTATATATTAAACCCATTGACATACCTGGTGACTTGCTGACTTAAAATTTAATTTAAGTTATGGTTATTAAGGAATTACATGATCGTTAATTTTAGGGTCTATAAAATTAGTCGTGGTGCACGTAAATTTACCCGAACACCCATATTAATCTAAAAAAAAATTTAACTTGAGTTAGATTTGCCATAAAATTAAGTAAGAATTTACACGCTTAAATTAATTTGATCAACTTAACATGTCAATTTACAAATTAAATTATTAAAAACCGGGTTGATTTTTTTAAAAGAACCTCATTTTAAATTTTACTAATAAAAATATTTAAATGTAATATTATTTTAAATTAACATGTATTAACCTGTTTAATCAATAACCTGAGTATTTACCTATCTAATATATAAACCAAGCCTTGAGGCCATTCATGAAATTAAAAAAAAAAAGGAGAGAAGCAACAAAAGATAATAAAGAATAGATGATAACAACACATCTTTTTTTCTTTTAGCATTATTGTTCCCTTTACCTCACTGGCAGAGCCCAAAGCCGAGAAAAGAATGGAGATTGAGACAACCACACAAGAGCACCATGCATCACTCCCGCGTTGCTCTTTTCTTTACATAAAGAAGAGCAAAGACCTTTTTTATTCAATTTATTACGTACAAAATGACAATATACTTTTCTTTCAAATGCCACTAAATTTAATGAATTGTTATTACATTAGATTGCACAAGAACTTTAATAACATCGATTTTAGACAGCTAAAATTATTAAACCCCGCCAATTTAATAACCCAATTCATGAAGAATTAAATGAGTTAATACATGTTTGTCGACGCTGTTAATCATGATTCGAACCACCATTGATAATAATGAATTTTAGCACCGTCACCTACAGCTTAAAACATGATTTGTGATGTAGAGAAACACGCCTTTAATCTCTTCCATCTAAAACACCCGTTGGTTTTAAATTGAGTTCTTGAAAGCATTAATTTAGACGCTTTTTAATATATTGAGATTAAAATTATTTTTTAAAATAAAAATATATTATTTTAATGTATTTTAAATAAAAATACTTTTAAAAAATATATAAGGGCTGGAATACCGTTTTTAATCTGAATAAAGTTGAATTTGAATATATAATTTTTTTGTACCCTATAAGCAACCATTTGGCATAAACAAAAGGGCGTTTTAAATTGAAGTAGTCTAATTACTCTCTTTTTTGGGTAAGATTTCTTGGGTCACAAAATGTTACCAAACCAAAAGCACCTCTGATTTTTCTGAAAATGTATGCTGTCATTTTCAAACTAAAAAGAAGCAAGCAAATAGTAAATGCTCGAAAGAGATGTAGGACCTCATAAAGGACCCATTGGCGAAAAGTCAAGCTAAAATTCCCTCTCTAGAACCAATGTGAATGCAACCAACTCCCCCCTCCAAAATTCTTGACCAAGCTCCTTTCTCTTTAAGAACAATAATTGAACTCTACAGCCAAAAGATACACACACCTCCCCCCTCCCCACCATTATAAGCTCAGCACCTAGGCACCAGCTATTTTTAATTTCCCTCTCTGAACTTGAAAAAATCTGAAATTGGAAACACAACATGCTCATGCCTAGACTGATCCAGAAGCTCACACTACTTTTTACCTTACTCTTCCTTTTTCTCTCCTTAACCACCAATGCCGCCGCCGCCACTACCATCACTCAACAATTCAAAGAAGCCCCTCAATTTTACAACTCTCCTGATTGCCCTTCAATTGATCAGGATGAAATAGACTCCGAAGCAGAACCAGATGGTGAAAACACCATCTTCTGCTCCGAGCACGCAGTCCATGTGGCAATGACATTAGACGCAGCCTACATCCGTGGGTCCATGGCTGCAATTCTCTCTGTTTTGCAACACACCTCCTGTCCCCAAAACATAGCTTTCCATTTCGTCGCCTCTGCCTCTGCCTCCGCTAACGCTTCTCTCTTACGCGCCACCATCTCATCCTCCTTCCCTTACCTCAAATTCAGGGTCTACACTTTCGACGATTCATCAGTGTCGGGACTCATCTCCACATCAATCCGCTCAGCTCTGGATTGCCCTCTGAATTACGCTCGCAGCTACTTAGCCAATATCCTACCTCTGTGCGTCCGACGAGTTGTATACCTTGACTCTGATCTGGTTCTCGTCGATGACATTGCCAAACTAGCGGCTACTCCACTTGGAGAAAAATCTGTCCTTGCAGCACCCGAATACTGCAATGCAAATTTTACATCATATTTCACTCCGACTTTCTGGTCCAATCCTTCTCTATCGCTAACATTTGCGGATAGAAGACCTTGTTACTTCAATACTGGTGTTATGGTAATCGATCTTGATCGATGGAGAGAAGGAGATTATACGACAAAGATTGAGGAGTGGATGGAACTACAGAAGAGAATGAGAATTTACGAGTTGGGTTCATTGCCACCATTCCTGCCAGCTTTTGCAGGCGATCTAGTG